TCATATTGTGGAGGTTTCAGTCCATAATCAACTGGCTCCAAGGCAGGGTGGCATGGCACAGGAGCAACAGGAGACTGCAAGAGCAAAAAGGAGGGGGCTGGGGATTTAGCTCAGCGGCATAAGCGCCTGCCTTGCAAGCAGGCAGTCGTGAGTTCGATCCCTGGTACCGATAAAAATGAAAAAGCCCAAAAAAAAAAAAAAGAGCAAAAAGGAGAGAAAAAGCCTCTTGTCCCTTATATTCTAAGCAGAATACCATCCTCTTCTCCCTTTGGGGTGGAAGTGGGGAGGGGGAAATGTAGCAATCATAAAATCTCCAAACCCTCCTCTTGCACAGGCGTGGATGTTCACGAAGTGAGGACTCTGGCCCCTGCTGAATCCCTTAGTTTAAAAAAATTCTCAAGTTGAACCAATGTATCAGTGATAACACGTGATCTACATAGTCCAAACTAACCTTGAATTCAGTATGTAGCCAAGGTTGGCCTCAAATTTGTAGTCTTCTTGACTCAGCCTACCAGGTGCTGAGATTACAGGCATACCCAATGATACCTGTTTGCAACATTGCTATTTTATTAGAATACATTACACCCTAATATTTTTGACATACATTTCTTTACTAGTTGAAGTTGAATACTTTTCTAAATGCTCATTTCATTGCTGTAATCACCTATTTTGAATTCTGTTCACCTATTGTAATCAACTATTATGCACAAGCATTTAGATAAAAGAAATCACTAGGCCAGGAATTTAGCTCAGTGGTGTAAGTACCTGCCTGACAAGCGCAAGGTCATGAGTTTGATCTCTGGTACCAGAAAAAAAGAAAGAAAGAAATCACTGACTTGTCAAAGTCTTCCTCCCAAATAATTTTTTTTGAGGCAGAGTCTCACTAGGTAATGCAGGCTATCCTTAAACTCATTTATGTACCCCAGGCTAACCTTGAGCTCACGGCAATCCTTTTGCCTCAAATTCCCAATTGCTGGGATTACAGGCATGTAACACTACACCCAGTTTAGCTGCTGTTTTTTTTTTTTTTCACTGACTTTGTCATCTGAGATTAGCTGCTGTTTTAAAAAAGTAAAAATCACAATATAATTTTAATTGTTATATGATAAAATTAAAATAATCCATAACAGTTACTGTGGTAATGTTAATTGGTCATGTGCAATTCCATCATGATATTAGAACATAATATGTAGAACTAAGTTTATTTCCAATTCTAAATATTGCTTTAAGAATGTTATAGTTGAGTCAGGTATGGTGGCATACATCTGTAATCCCAGCACTCTGGGGGGCTGAAGTAGGAGGATGGCAAGCTAAAATCCTGCCTGAGAAATTTAGTGTAGACCTTACCTCAAAATAAAAAGAGCCAGGCATGGTGATGCACACTTCATAAAAGGATGAGGCAGGAGGATCACTGAAAATTTGAGGCCAGCCGGAATGCATTTTAAATTGGGCATTGTGGCTCACTCCTATAATCCAAGCACTCTGGGAGGCTAAAGTAGGAGGATCATTACAAATTCAAGACCAGCCTAGGCTACAAAGTGAGCCCAAGACTAGCCTAAACTGCATATAGACTCTGTCTCAAAAAGATAAAAAATTTAAAAAAAAAACAAGATGCAGTTCAGTGAAAAGGCCCTGACTTCAATTCCCAGTACCAGTAAAGAAACCATATTATGGTTGTTATGAGCAAAATTTCTACAAACTGAAATCATCCTTAAAAGAAATTGATTGAAGGGGCTGGAGATTTAGCTCAGCGGCATAAGTGCCTGCCTTGCAAGTGTGTAGTCATGAGTTCGATCCCAGATACCGAAAAAAAAAAAATTTAGTATGATTATTAAAAGGGGCTGGGGATTTAGCTCAGCAGCATAAGCACCTGCCTTGAAAGCAGGCAGTTGTAATTTGATCCCCAGTGCTGATTAAAAAAAAAGTAAAGAAATTGATTGAGTGCTTTGTACTCAATATAGAGTAGCGCAGAATATTAAAGAGAGAAGGCAAGTAGATAAGAAAACAGTTTAATAAGGTGTGCGGGCACAGAGGGAGTCACCACAAAGAAGGCTGAGGCAGCTGTCTGCAGACAAAGTGCAGATTCTGCCTGATATAGGCTCTGATGGGGTTAGGCTCTGAGGACTGATATGTGCTGATTTATTTCATGAGAGTGCAGGGGACTGGGTAAACTTTTACATGCCTGAGCTTTGTCACAGACTTTTAGGAGGGAGAAACCACAGGGGCTTCTAGGAAGAAGGAAGTACGCATTATCATGGCACAGCTTTGAACCATTGCCATGGTGATTGTGCTGTCTCTCAGACAGGCGACCTAATGGTAGGAACTGTAATGATTCAAGAAAGATTGCCTAATTTGCCTGGAGCTTGAACCCTGGGCCTGGAACTCATATATGATAGGTAAATGCTCCACTACTGAGCTACATCCCCAGCCCTTTGGGGGTTTTTTGTTTTTGTTTTTGGTACCAGGAATTGAACGCAGGACCTTGTGCTTGCCAGGCAGACACTTGTGTTGCTGAACTATATGCTCAACCCTTTTTGTTTTGAAACACGGTTTTACTAAGGTCCCAGGCCAGCTTCAATTACAGGTGTGTACTACCCAGCTCTAAATCAGTTTTTGAGATGCTGCATTATCAAAAGAAAGGAATGATATCAATTAGGCTATTATCAGAAAAAAGGAAGACACATCTCTAGCTGCAGCTTGACAAAAAAAAAGAGAGACACCATAAGGTTCTCCTGTTCTTTCTCATCCTCTAGACTTACTTGGTACCATACTATTCCCAGTTTCATGTCTATTTTGGAAAAAAAAATGAATTCAGGATAAAAATTTAAATGTGAGTATATTCTTTCAAATGCCAAAAAACACTGTAATGGTATCAGCATAAATTTATTGAGCATTTACTCTGACCAGACATTATTTTATTTGATCTTCATTCAAAAAACCCTGGGAAGCAGCAGTTATTATCTCATTGTTCTAGAATTCAAACTCATATTGCCACACTCCAGAAACCAAGCAGTTTATCACTGTTCTGCTATGCTTCCCTCTAACAAAAAATAATATAATCAATTGTATATTAAAATCAACATACAAGTAGCAAGGATATCTTGTTATGTTGACTTTTGAGCTAGGAAGCAAAGGACCACAAGAGATGAAAACTGCCAGACCTGTTTGCACACAGCTGTAATCCCAGCACTTGAGAGGCTGAGACCAGAGGATCACCCCTGAGTTCAAGACCAGCCTGGACTACATAAGGAGACCCTATCTCAAAAAGACAAAAAAAAAAAAAAGAAAGAAAAAAGAAAACCAGAGATGAAAATTGAGCAGCAGTGTGAATCAAAATGAAAGGAGAAAAATCTACACCAAAAAAAAAAAAAAGGTAACTTTGAAAAGGAGAACAGTATTATACAGCTATCATATACATATTTCAAGTCTTCTTTCGAACATTGAGATGATGAAGGAAAAACCCATTTTATTAGAAACAGATCTTAAAGATCTCAACAAAAACCAGACATTTAACTCAAATTGATATAGTTCATCACATCTTATTCCATATTTATTGAAAGGATTTTACCCTGGATGGGACGCTGCAACCGTGGGAGGCTGGGAGGTGGAACCAAGGGGCTTTATCTTGAGGTCATCTTTCCGGCCCCTAGGTAATTTACCTGTGGCACTCGAAATGAATTCTAATGGGCTACTTGTGCGTCAGTAATGCCCCTTAGGCACCATCCCAAACCAAAGCTATGTGTATGCCCCACACACAACGTGTCCGGCAGAGAAAAGCCAGACCCCCGTGGTCGTGGGGTTCTCTCCACATTCTTAGAATAAAGGCCACTTTTATATCATATTTCTATCTTTCTAGCCGCGCCAAAAAATTCTATCATTTATTATATTGAAACTCTTACAGTACATCAAAGAGTACAATGCTATATCTGTAAGTATCCTCCCACCAGATTTCTGTCCCAAAATATGGTGGCACACACCTTAATCCCAGCACTTGGGAGGCTGAAATAGGAGAATCGCTGCGAATTTTTAGGGCCAGTCTGAACTGCATAATGAAACCCTACCTCAGACAAAAAAAAAAAGTTCACAGCACAGTCAGTTATTTTTAACGTTACATCTAAATTTAACAGCATGAAGTTCTTAGTCCATTTGCCTCCACGTATTAATAATGCCAATACAGCATATGGTTTAAACACAAAGCTCAGAATTCCTGTTTGAATTTATCTGATGCCTAGCAAACTGTGTGATCTCGAGCCCACTTAACCACTGGAACCGTCAATTTCCTCAACTGCAAAAGGAAGTTAACAGATCCTCATACTTAGTAAGATTTGGGGGAATAAAGGAGGTACTGTATGTAGTTTACCTAAAAGTTCTTGGCAAGGTATCCAGTACAGAGGTGTTTTGGATACTCATCAGGTTCCTAAGAGGATCGGATTAACTTGAAGAAAAAAACTTTTTAAAATTGACTTGGGTCCGAGGATATAGTTCAGTGGCACAACACGTGCCCAGCAAGTGCGAGATCGTGAATTTGATGCCCAGTACCAAAAAAAGCCAATTAACAAGATGTAATATTTATTAAACTAATAACTATTTCACCGATTAATAATTAATGTCCAAATCTTTTTCTCATCTCGTCTTTTTATTACTGCATTCTCCTCTTTTCACAGAGGGAAACAGCCTGAGACTCAGAATTGTCCAAGGTGCAAGTCAAGAAACACAGTTCAGGGGCTGGGGATTTAGCTCAGCGGCATAAGTGCCTGCCTTGCAAGCGCCTGGTGATGAATTCAATCCCTGGTACCGGTAAAAAAAAAAAAAACCAGTTCATACTCCAGAGCTTTCACCACATTTCTGGCCATGGTCAGAAGCCCACTTTGCTTCCCTCTGATGTTGTAGGAACAGCGAAAAAATTCTCCAATTTAAAGTTTCATCCGCCAGGAGATTTACATATCGATTGTTTATTGGCCGCTTGCATGTACTCGCTCTCCTCATTGGCTGATTCTGTTTTGGACACCGGAAGTGGCTCGCCGAGACCACGGAGGCCGAGGTCACCTATGGTTCTGCTTCCGGCTTGTCTCGGGGGTGGGAGGGCGCCATGGCGACAGCAAGTGGACTGACGTTAAGCAGATGGCGCCGCAGTCTTCGAGTGGTTCCCCAACCCCGTGTAAGTGTATATTTCCTCTGCTCTCAGGGTGACAGGATTTCAAGCGGTACCTGTGCTCCGAGGCGGAGCACCCTCAGCAGCCCCTCCTCTAGGGAAGCGCCTGCGTCTGTTCTTTCTGCCTGACATACAGCTTTTCTTTCCCGCCCTCCAGGCCCTTGCAGCCCTCGTTCCCAGCGTGACCCATGTAGATAACAAGTCCGATTTTCTGGGGAAGAAGCCCCACCGGCAGCACCCTGGCATCCTGCAGCTCCCGTATGTGCGGCTGCCGCAGGCGCTGGCTCGGGCCGCGCAGTCGCTGCTGCTCGGTGAGTAACGGCAGGAGCGGAACCCGGGAGAGAAAGGCGCCGAGCCCGCGGTAAGGTACTCGTGTTTCCTCTTCTGCCCGCAGAGAGCACAGTGTCCAGTGTAGAGGAGAAAGTGCAAACGCTGACCAATTATCTCTGGAGCCGACATTTGCCTATAGAGCCAGAGGAGTTGCAGAGACGGGCTATGCATCTTGAGAAAAAATTCCTGGAAAATCCAGGTAGGAATTAAGAATATTTCCAAATTGAAATATCAGTGGGAAATGAAAAGTAAGGAGTAATTCCACATGTCTAAAATCGATGCTGCAGTTTCCCATTTAACTTTTTGGCAAGAGCAGTTGTTACAGTGCCTTCCTAGAAGGTAGACTGGTCCACAGGTTACTCTCGAGTTTTGGATGAAGCTCAGAAATCCAGCTCTTGGGGTTTTTTGCCCCCAGAAAATCCACAGGGTTATGACCTCCTGCGTTTTTATTCAGGTGAAATGAAAACAGGGAACCTCAGTGGCTCCCTGCCTAGCACCAAAACCCTCGCAGAGAGAGAAGCATATATTTATGGTAATGAATTTCTTCATGTTACAGACCTGCCTTTTTTCATCTTGTAGTCCCTTTATTCCCATGATATTTGGCTCAGAGTAAGAATTAAAGAGATGGTTTCTAAATAGTGCAGAACCGAGCAGAGTTATGAGAGATTTTCCAACCTTTTTTCCTCCTGGTGGGAACATAGGAGATTTCACCATCTTAAATTTTGGGGATTTGAAGAAACCCACAAAGTTTTCTCCTTATTGTAACCTTGTAAGATTTTCTCATATTTGTCTTTAATATAAAACAAAACTTGTGGGACAGGGTTTGTTAAGCTAAATAAACTGCTGTCCAACGAGAGCCCTATCTGATACACTCACTCTAGTGATAATGATGATTACAGTTGTTCCTCCCTGAACTTTTTCTCTGGGTTTGGCTTTTCTCTTGAACTTTGAGGCTTTGCTCAGGTGGAAACGAGGGAAGACTGGGTTGCGCAGGATATTTAATATTAGATCCGACTCCTGTTCCCTCCAAGTACCTCCATTTCTTGTTCTCACCCCAGGCTCACCGCAGACAGAGGAGAAACTCCACGGAGCTGTGTTACGTGCCCTACGCAGAACTACCTACCACTGGCAGGAACTGAGGTGAGAAGGACTTGAAAAGGCACAAAAAAAAACATTGGACTTGAAAGGCAGAATTGGGAATGTGTAATTGCATAGTCATGTTAGTGTTTGAGAAAGCTACTAGGACCCTTCTATACTGGGGGGTAGAAGGGTTAGAAGAGCTCTTTCCAAAGATTTCATCTCCTGAAAATCTATGAAGTAACTATGGGGCTGAGATTATTTCCCAGTATGTGTGACTCTGATTGCTATTGCAGCTACAGTGAGGAACTGAGCCTGGTGTACATGGCAGCAAGACTGGATGGTGGCTTTGCAGCAGTTTCCAGGGCGTTCCATGAGGTGAAAACCCTTAAACTTCCAACTTGAACTCCTTTGCCTCAGCTCCCTTTTTCCTGAAGCAGGGACTCTTGGGACTTTATATGTGCATATTTTAAAAGAGATTCTCTTTATTCTCTGATGAAAGAGTTCCGTTACTTAAGAAACACTTGCAGTCACTATTTCACTGCCAGGCATGGTGACGTGTCGATGTCGCTCCCGGCCGGCAGGAAGGACACACGACAAAGTCTGGCAGTGGACAACCTTTTCTTTTATTTTCCTTCTCCGTACAGCCTGCCCTGGGATCGCTCCCAGCCGAAGCCTCCTTTGGTCCGCTCCCCGCGGCTCCTTCTAGGCTTCTACTTCCGGGCTTCTTCTTCCCCCCCAGGGGTGGCACCAGTATATATACGGATACAGTGTCCAATCATGTTAAAGTAAGCAAGGCAAGCTGATTGGCTAACATCATCAGTTGCCAGGCAGACTATATTGTTGAGCGGGTTGCTTACGCGGTAAGCAGGAAACTAACGTGCTCGATGGGAGGGGTAATCTACCTCAGGCTTTACTCTTTACTACAGGCCTCACGTCCGCCAAGTGAGGCGACCGGGCTCGGGGCTGCGGCTCCCAACAGTGATGTATCCCTATAATCACAGCACTCAGGAATCTGAGGCAGGAGGATGGGAAGCAGAAGCAGAAGGATGGGAGGCTGAGGCAGGAGGATGGACTGGGAGTTAAGGCCAGCCTGAACTACCTAATGAGATCCTATCTCAAAAAAAAAATGTTTTTTAATTAAAAAAGAGGAGTATCTTCCATTTAAGTACTTCCTGCTGGAGCCGGGCATCATGGCACCGGCCTATAATCCCAGCCTATGGGGGGCTGAGGCAGGAGAATTTCTTCAAGTTCAAGGCTACCCTGGGCTACAAAGTGAGTTCATGGGCAGCCTGAATTGCATAGCAAAACCCTGTTTCAAAAAAAGATGCCTATAATCCCAGCACTCAGAAATTTGAGGCAGAAGGATTACCGTGGGTTTGAGGCCAGCCTAAGCTACATGAGCAAGTTCAAGGCCGGTTTGTTCTCTATAGTGAGACTGTCTCAAAATAAGGCAAAAAAAAAACCAAATACTCCTACTCATCCAGAGGAGCTGTCTCCCATCTCTCTCTTCTCCCTTCCCCCAACTTCAAGTACTCTTCTTTTATTAAAAAAAAAAAAATCACGATTTAGCCAGGCGTGGTGGCTCATGCCTGTAATCCCAGCACTCAGGAGGCTGAGGCAGGAGGCAATCCTTCAAGACCAGCCTAGGCTACAAAGTGAGCTCAAGGCCAGCCTGAACTGTATAGTGAGACCCTGTCTCAAAAAGACCAAAAAAAAAAAAAAAAAAATCACTATTTTATGAGCTTTCTATTCTAGAAAATAATCTCAAAATGCATTCACATCTCACCTTCTCTGTCATAGTTCCCTCAAAAGCCCTAAATAATTTTCTGTTTACTCTTCTGAGGGATGTTGTATATTTCCTCAGATCCATACTCGAACTCCACAGTTCCAGCCACAAACCTTGATGGACTTTGGCTCTGGTACTGGTTCTGTCACCTGGTGAGTAACTTTCTGCAGCCATCTCTGTCAGTCTATCTCTAAAAAGCCACTTACACCATGTCAGTGTCAAGACTAAGAAAACAAAATAGGAAAACTGGGGATACAGTGTTTCTTCCCTCAAAAGGTAGCATATGAATTGGGACCAGAACTTACAAAAATGTCAAGTACAAATAGAGGCCACATTTAGAAAGGCTAAAAAGGAAAAAAATTTAGTGTAGACAATAGGCTTTATATGTCAATCAAAAATTATTCTCAGCCACATTGCACCTGCCTGACAAGTGTGAGGTCATGAGTTCAATTCCCAGTACCAAAAAAAGAAAAAGATGTAAATAATTTCATTGCCTATAGTGGATTTTTGAGCCTGCCTTTTTTTCAGGAGTTGTTAATGAAGTAAGAAAATAACATTGTTAGTTTTCCCAAGTATGTTAGTATAACACCTATCTCCCTGGAGCTAAGGCTGTGAGTAGACAGGCTTCTTGTAGGGTTGACTTTTTGTCATAAGAATTAGGGGAACTGGACATGGTGGTTCACTTCTGTATTCCCAGCAATCAGTAGGTAGAAGCAGGAGGATCACCATGAGTTTGAGGCCACCCTGAACTATACGGCAAGATCTTGTCTCAAATAAATAAATGAATAAATGCAAACAATCACTGGTTTTTGTTTTGCTATCTCAGGGCTGCTCACGCTGCTTGGGGCCAGAGCCTCCGTGAATATGTGTGTGTGGACAGCTCAGCTGCCATGTTGAATTTGGCAGAGAAACTACTGAAAGGTAAGAACACACTCAAAAATCTACCTTTTGGAAAAAAGGTAGATTTTTTCCAAAGCCAAGAGAGTTAAAAGCAAAGGAGTACTAGAAAGGTTGTTTTGGAAGAAGAGAAGAGGCTGCGAGTGAAGATGAATCTGATCTCCTTGCAATATTCTGGTCAAGCAGAGGGTGCTGGAGACCTTTGCTGGGCTGTGAATGACTTGAGTTAGGTCACAGCAAAAGGGAGCTCATACTCACCCTACCTGTTTCATATTTACTTATACATTGCAGTTCAGTGTCACCCAGCGTGACCTTGGAGTGTTACTGGTCTGGGTGTGTGTGTGTGTGTGTGTGTGTGTGTGTGTGTACTGAACTCACAACCTCACACTTGCCAAGCAGACACTTATACCACTGAGCTAAATCCCTAGCCCTGGATATCTCTTTAGTTTGTACTTGTAAACACAAACATTTTGTTTGTTTTTTGTTTAGGGGGACACGGTCTTGCTTTGTAGTGCAGGCTGGCCTTGAACTCCTGGTGTAGCCCAGACAGACCTCACTATGTAGCCCAAACTCACAGCCGTCTTCCTGCCTCAGCCTCCTGAGTGCAAGGATTATAGACATGTGCCACCCCCCCTGGCTACTTCATGTGTACTCTTAGTTGCCACATCTCTTCTTCCGCAGGTGGTTCAGAATCGGGGAAGTCTTATGTTCCAGGTGTCTTTTTCAGACAGTTCCTACCTGTATCACCCAAGGCAAGTAGCAGTACCTAGGGTGTTCTAAATGTGGAATGTAGCAGAGGGAAAGCGATGGCTGCAGTTTTACAGCCTAGTATGGAGTGCTAGAAGATAAAAGATATGTAGGGCCCAAGCTTCTTGTCCTCTGGGGATGGCAAGCCGTCAGTTCCCTGGCGCTCCTTGTCTCTGCAGGTGCAGTTCGATGTGGTAGTCGCAGCCTTTGCCCTGAGTGAACTGCCCAGCGCGGCTGACCGCGCCTCGGTGCTCCACACTCTATGGCGTAAGACGAGCCATTTTCTGGTGAGCTGAAAACTTCCCCACAAGCTTCATGGGTTTCCGGCCTTTCTTTCCCTTCCCTTCACTCTCAAACGTGCTTGTCTTTATAAGTGTGGTTCCTCCTCTAGGGGCTCCACCCCTATCTTACATGGAAGTCCATGTCCCACTCTGACTCCATCTGCAGATGCTGTTTCTGGGCTGCTGGTATCTTAGCTTTCTTGCAGTCCACAGCATCCACTTGTTTTGCCCTCTTGTGAGCAGGTACTGGTAGAGAATGGAACAAAAGCTGGGCACCGGCTTCTCATGGATGCCAGGGACTTGGTCCTCAAGGTAAGGTCCCTTGTCTTCTTTTAGCCCCTGCCCATCTTCACCAATTACTGTTCCTCCCTTGAAAACTGAAGAGACCATCATGGATCAACAAGGGGACTTTTAGGACACTAGACGTGTAAAGTCCTTGCTGTAGAAGGCTGTAGTTGACAGACAAGAGCCTATGCTTCAAGTCGGCACTGCCCATTCTTGTGTGTACATGCAGAGTCATGTCCCTCAGTCTGTGACTGCTTTCACACTGCTCACTGCAGAGCTGAGTAGTTGGGACAGAGATAGCTTTCACCTTCTCCCCTGCCCTATTAAAAATTTGCTTCAAGGCACCGTGGTACATGCCTCTGAACCCAGCTATTTGGGAGGCTGAGTCAGGAAGGATCACAAGTTCAAGATAGGCCTAGGCAATTTAGCAAGATCCCATCTCCAAACAAAAAGGCCAGGATGTAGCTCAGTGGTAGAGCGCTTGTGTAGCACATGCAGGGTCCTGGGTTTAATCCCCACTGTGAAGAAAAAAACAAGTTTGCCAGCCCCTGATGTTGGGCATTGTTGAGCCAAGAACCTTGTCTCTGTGAAGAATAAGAGCTAGTATGTAATCATAAATTTAATTGTCCTAAGCCGGGCGTGGTGGTCATGCCTGTAATCCCAGCACTTGGGAGGTTGAGGCAGGAGGATCGTTGTGAGTTCGAGACCAGCCTGGGCCACAAAGTGAGCTTAAGGCCAGCCTGAACTGCATAGCGAAACCCTGTCTCAAAAAGAAAAAAAAAATTTTTTTAATTGTCCTGAGTGAATTTTTTTTTAAAAATGGAAATTACTGACAAGGAAGAGTTTCTTACTGTGCCAAATTCCTGCCTCTCTACTGCTACAAAGAGAAAGTTCTCTGTTTAGATTATTAACAGTACAACCAGCTAAACTCAAAGGAGACAGTTCATCACTATTAGAATTAAACGTTAAATGAGTCCCCAATCTCCCAAATATTGATTGAGTGTTGAAAATAGACCCTGCTTGGCGCTGGGGATTTAGCTCAGTGGCATAAGCACCTGCCTTGCAAGTGTGTGGTCGTGAGTTCGATCCCCCGTACCGATAAAAAAGAAAAAGACAAAAAAAAAAGAAAGAAAAAAAGAAAATAGACCCTGCAGACCCAGCTTCACTTCTCTGACTTTAGGGAGAAAAGAAGTCACCTTTGGACCCTCGTCCTGGGTTCGTCTTTGCCCCGGTAAGTGTCACTTTACCCTGACCCAGCACACAGATCAGAGTGTGAATGTGGCCAGGCGAAGTGAGTAGCTAAAGCTAGGCCACTGTCCACCGCTCTGTGTCCCTCTCTACCTTCCCAGGGACGTCTGGTGCTCCCCCTGCCTCTGCCCCTGGATCCCTTCTCCACGGCCCTCTGGATTCTGTCCTCTGAAACTTTACAGTCAGAGGCTGTTTTGTCTTTGTGTTCACAGTGTCCCCATGAACTCCCTTGTCCTCAGTTGACGGCCTCTCAGCCCCTTGCCTGTAGCTTCTCGCAGGGTTACCATCCCATCCCCTTCAGCTGGGTATGTATTCTGGTAATACTGTAACGGAGAAAATAATCTAGAAAAGCAAGAAGAAAAAGGGTCAGACTTGGGGAGAGTGGAAAGCTTACAGAACAGTCTGGAGATGTTAGGGCCTGTTCATGCATGATTTATAGAATATGAAAAGAAGGGGCTGGGGATTTAGCTCAGTGGCATAAGCGCCTGCCTTGCAAGCAGGCAGTCGTGAGTTCAATCCCTGATACCGATAAAAAGGAAAAAGACAAAAAAAAAAAAAAGAATATGAAAAGAAGAGCCAGGCAAGGGGGAACACACCTATATTCCTAGCACTTGGAGGCTAAAGCAGGAGGATTGGAAGTTTGAGTCCAGAGTTGGCAACTTAGCCCATAGCAAAAAATAATAAGTGAGGGATATAGCCTAGTGGTAGAGCACCCAGGCTTCAATCTCCCCCGTACTGCAAAAAAAGAAGAAGAAAGGGGCAGTGAGAATGTGGGAACTAAAAAGCTTGTCCCATAATCTTTTTCCTTAAACAGTTCCTGTATTCTTGCCTTAGAATAAGAAACCAAAAGAGGAAAAGTTCTCTATGGTGATTCTTGCCCGAGGCTTTCCAGAAGACACTAATCGCTGGCCACGAATCACTCAGCCCGTCCTCAGACGGCCCCGCCATGTCCACTGTCACCTGTGCTGTCCAGACGGGCAGATGCAGCACGCCGTCATCACATCCCGCCGGCATGGCAGGTAGAGGAGGCATGACCAGCATTAATGGAACATGACAGGAACCTGCAGCCTGCATGTACGTCACATTTCTGTTTCACAGGGATCTGTACCGATGTGCCCGTGCCAGTTCCTGGGGAGACCTTTTACCTGTGACCACTCCACCCAAGTCTCCACCCCCCGAGCAGGATCCACCCAACAGCTGACAGGAATGTGTGTCTGTCTGTAACCAGTGTTTTCTCTCAGACCTGCTGAGACCAGAACTACCTGGTATCCAGGAAGGTCAGCTTAGCCTCATACCAGTGATCCTGGTACTCCTGAAATTGTGCCCCATTGAGGCTGTGACCCCCTGTATATCTATATTTGTTTGAAATTTTAATAAAATAAATTTTTAAAGAATAGTTTTGTTTTCTTGCTTATTCTGTAATGAAGAATCCTGAGATTTTCAGTACAAGGCTTCAGATTTCAGGCTAATCCTCTCCTATGCTGCTTCTGACAGAGATTTCGGGAAGAAATCTGGAATAGTGGGGAAAGCTCTGAGATCTGGCTCTACAAGTTGCTCTGCAGCCCTCCCAAGAGGGGACTAGCAGCTACTTATCCTGTTCTTGTTTATCTCTCCTTCCCTTTTTTTAGAAAGGGTCTTGCTATGTTCAGGCTAATCTTGAACCCATTATGTAGACCAGATCTAACTCACAGTGATCCTCCTATTTTAGGATCCTCCATAAATTTGAGTGAATAGGATAAAAGATTTATGCAAAACTAGCACTTGGGACCTATTCAACTCAAATCAAAACCCCACCATTTACAGATAGGCCAAGGGTCTTTTAGAAAGGAACAGAGAGAAAGGGGACATGGGGTGGTGTACCCTCTCTCACTTCCAGTCACCTTAAGCTTAGCCTCTTGCAGATAACAAACCAGGCCTCTGGCCTCTTGGGGCTGGCACCTGCATATTCTGTCACTTTTGAGCTGAAAAAAGTTATTATGGAAAAAAAAACTTAAAATAACTGTTGCAAAGTTTTATTTTGTAGTGCTGCTTACATCAAATTTAAAATGCCTATAGCTGGGCAAGGTGGCGCACACCTGTAATCCCAGCACTTATGAGGCTGAACCAAGAGGATCATTGCAAATTTGAGACAAGCCTGAGTTACAAAGTGAGCTCAAGGCCAGCACGAACTGCACAGTAAGACCCTGTCTCAAGTAAAATAAAATGCCCACCACCATAAATATTCACGCAGGATCCTTCTGTTTATTTGGTTCATTTCAGTTTTCTCTTTGACCTTACTGTTTCATGGCCAAAGCAATGTTCTTTATCTTTAAACTTATAAAAGTAGCATCACTTCTTGGCCTTTTGGCTAAAATCTAGTGTAAACTCAAAATACCTCTCCCACAGTTCATATCAGGAAATGTTACTAAACCCAAAATCAGGATTAATGTCCCCCATGCATGGTAGCAGCCAATCAATCACTGAATACTGCTGCTTGAAAGAAAAGTTTAAGGGGCTGGGGATTTAGCTCAGTGGCATAAGCGCCTTCCTTGCAAGTGTGCAGTCGTGAGTTTGATCCCTGGTACCGAAAAAGACAAAAAAAAAAAAAGTTTAATTACGGAAGTGCACTAAGAAGGCTGAGAATTCACTGTCTCAAGTCTGTAATTCCAGCAAGTGTGGTTAAGTCAGAAGGGAAAAGGGATAGATGAGAAGTCCAGGGGGGAAACGGAATATTTTTACAAGTTTATAAAAACTAGAGGTTTCAAAAAAAAAAGGTTTCAGACTTTTGGCACCAGTGTACATCTGGCAGACCATTGAGCAATCTACAGTTCTGCAAACCAAGCTTGGAAATCTCCCTGTGTGACAAAAATAAGCTTAGCAATTGATAATTATAGGAAAAGCAACATGGACCCAAGTCACCTTGAACAGAAGAAATGTGTTCTCTCTGCTTGGTTTTGTTTTGTTTTTCAACTTTCAATTAGATTGTACTGGTACATTTTTTATTTCTTTTTTTTTTTTTTTTTTTTTTTTTTTTTTGTCTTTTTCCTTTTTATCGGTACCAGGGATCCAACTCACAACTGCCTGCTTGCAAGGCAGGCGCTTATGCCGCTTTGCTAAATCTCCAGCCCCCCATTTTTTATTTAACTTTTAGGAGATAGAATGATTCAAACCTCTTGGAGAAAAAAAAAATCTTAATTTTATTATGGGGACTCAGTTCCAGAAACAGTACCAGTCAAAAGAGATTGTATCAAAGCTGCAACACTAGGAATCAACTTCACAGTAGACTTTCCATTCCTGGAGCCCAGGACGGGAATCTCCCCTCACAGACCAGTTTCCACACAGTGGCAGCAGTACCCTCTCAGCTTTCCTACCTCTTTACCCCAGGTGGCCCCAAATCCCCTGTGAAAGGGTTCAGTTCAGGTATCAGCACAGCCACCTGTAAGACTTGGGATGGAGCGGAGGATACAGTCGGTTTAGATCAAGTGTTCTGAGTGATCCCCAGTACGAAATAGCTGGGAAGGAGCTACCATAGACTGTCCCATGTGGAGCTAGACCAACACAAAATGTTCTGCCTTGGCATGAACTGAATTATCCCAAGCGCTCGGATTAGTCAAGGCATCAAACAGGAGACAGCGCTGAGTTGTACCTGGCAGGAAGTCTGGAGTTTCTGGTTTCGAAACTCAAGAGGTCGGACCTAGGGGAGGGGCCTCCACCCAGGGTAGGGAGGGTAACTGGGGCAGGGCTCCTGACCACTAAGCAACGCTGTTGCTCAGCCAGAGACAACTCATAGCGGAGGATACCAACAGGCTCCCCAAAACTCAGGGAAGTGGAGACATTTCAGCTTTGATCATCTAAGACTCCGCTTCAGTTCCATTTGTCCTTCAGAGGCCTCTGCCTATCCTGCATCCCAGAGATGGAGTCATTAACAGGAGTAAAGCTGGGCTGCCTGTTTGCCATGCTCGCTCTCACCCTTGTCTGCGGCCTTGGTCCCATCTGCTCCAAATGGTTCAAGGTGGATGTAGCTACAGGTCGAGTCTCACCCCATCTTCATCTGTTAAACTGAGTCTCACCTCAACCCTATCCTGATTCTTGCTCTAATTCTCTGACTGTCCTTAAGCTCAGGACATTGGGTTCTGACTCTCGTTCCTGTTACTTCTGATTTCCTCAGTGCCAACTGGATTGTAACTTCTCCTATTTTATTAGGTCACCACCGGAGAGTCCTCAGCCTCCTGGGCTGTACTTCTGCTGGTGTTTTCCTGGGAGCAGGTTTCATGCATATGACTGCTGAAGCCCTGGAGGGAATTGAATCACAGATCCAGAAGGTCACGGGGCAGGTGAGTGGCAGGTGCTAGGCTGCAGGGTTGTGAGGCCTGAATGATAAACACAACCAAGGGAAGTAAGGGGGTAGTGATGGAGCCCAGGACACAGATGGGACAGTAGGGAAAATAACAGTTCTTGTGCTGTGTTGGAGTAGTGAAAGCAGGTCAGACTGGGCTTCAAGAAAAGCAGCATTGCTAGCGCAGGGTTTAGCTCAGTGGCACAAGTGCTTGCCTGGCAAGCGTAAGGTCATGTGTTCGATCTTAGTACCAAAAAAAAAAAAAAAGAAAGAAAGAAAGAAAACAGAAAAGCAGTATTGCTGAAAGGGCAGGACAGGAAGTTGAGCTATTCATCTACTAATATCGATATCTTTCTCCCTAGAATACAACAAGAAGCAAGAGAAATTCTTCTAATGATGCTGACTCAGTCTTTGTAAGTATTTCCCACCAGCCTCCATCTGGAGGACAGGAGGAATTAGATTCTTTCATATCCAGACCCTTTTGAAAGGCATATGTGAGAAACACCAGGAATTCTTCTGTGCTCTGTTCAGTGTAGAGGAAAGGATGCACCAACCTGGTCTTTGGTGATGTGGACTCCTAGAAAAACTCCTGCTTTACCATTACCTTCTCTCCCTGACAATCTTCCCATACTTGTAACCCTATTGGTACTGTGCCCCCTCACCCCTCTGGCACTCTCACCATTGCATGCCTTCTGGTTCCTTACCTCACCCCCTTTTTGTTACATTTCTCCCCTGCTCTTCACTCTCCCCATCCCATAGCCCCTCCTCCGCTCTGTCTCCCCTCCCTCCCTCTCACAGCCCTCTCTCTCTCCCCAGGTGGAGTATCCCTATGGAGAACTCATCATCTCCCTGGGCTTTTTCCTTGTCTTCCTTTTGGAGTCGCTGGCACTGCAGTGCTGTCAAGGGGCTGCTGGACAATCAACAGTGCAGAAGGAGGAGGAAAGGGGCGGGGACCCTGTCTTTGATTTCCATAGCCATGAGTCTCTGCGTTCACCCAAGCAGAGTCCCTTTCGAGCCTTCATCCTCTTGCTGTCCCTCTCCTTTCACTCGGTGTTTGAAGGGCTAGCCGTGGGGCTCCAGCCAACAGTAGCAGCTACTATACAGCTCTGTCTTGCCGTCCTGGCTCATAAGGGGCTCGTAGTGTTTGGTGTCACACTGCGGCTGATAAACACAGGCACTGGGTCTCGATGGGCAATCGCCTCTATACTGTCATTAGCTTTCATGTCCCCTTTGGGCCTCACCCTAGGGATGACCATAGCTGCAGGGGACCCTGAAGGTTGGAAGGGCTTAGCCCAGGCCATATTGGAGGGTCTTGCAGCTGGCACATTCCTGTATGTGACTTTTCTAGAAATCTTGCCCCGGGAGCTAAGTAGCTGTGAAGCCCCTCTGGCTAAATGGGGCTGTGTAGCTGCTGGTTTCGCCTTTATGGCCTTTATTGCCATGTGGGTCTAAATGAGTCCTCTTTTCTGACAGATCTATCTACTTGGGAGGAACTGTGGGAAGCCGCCTATGATGGCGCCCATTTCCTGCTTCCAGGTTCTTCCCGGCCTGAACAAGCCCGCCAAATTGTCATGTCTGCCCAGTTACCCGTGACGCTAGCCTATCAGCTTGTTAGACGCGCTTCTCTGTGATTGGATACTGCTTCCCCTTATAAGAGGCTGTTCCTGCCCCCAAGGGGCGGAAGAGGAACCAACGTTGAGGGTGGTGGACCTTGTTAGGTCCGGTTCGCTGTACGCAATAAACTTTGAGAGCTGATCCTGCTCGAGTTTGGTCTCCTGTCTCCCGCGGCTCCGGTCATCTGGTGGCCCGTACGGGGAAAAAGGTAAAAGACTCAGCGACGTGCCTCTTCGGCCGGGAGGTGCGATTGCTGTCGTCTGCGGTACAACGGAGGACCTGGCCCAATAACAACGAAGGCCCCGAGCGCCTCTTCTCTTCACCCTGATCAGCTACGTGAGATACAGCGGTTCCCGGGACAGGTGAGTACTGGATCGCCTGGGTTGGGTGGACGCACCTAACAGATTTTGAGCGCCACACGGGTGGACGCCGGTCTTTTTTTTTCTTTGCATTTGTTTCGCTTTCGTTTCGCCATTGTGGGCAACGCTGCTCGCAAACCCCTCGCTGACTCCCTAAGAGTCCTGCTGCGGACCCGAGGCATCTACATAAACCGGGTCACCCTTTCGAGATTTCTGGATCGTGTTAATGAAATTGCCCCCTGGTTTTGGCCCACGGGCTCTCTAACCCTCCCGTCATGGGAGAAGTTAGGAGGGGATCTTAGATGCGCCCGAGAAGAGGGACGCTTGGATCCCATGGTTTTACCCCTGTGGGAACTGATTAGGGCTTGTCTGACGGACGAACAAACCCCCGGGCTTTGCTCAGCCCGACAGGCTTTTGATAAAGCTCGATCGGAATGCTCAGAGGAGCCCGGAGCCACTGCCGATTGTGGGTCTCCGGAGGACCCTCAGGGCTCTAATTCCGATTCTGATTCGGAAGGTTCAGAAGAGGATGTTGTCTTCGCTAAACAGGACCCTCCTGCACAGCTTAAAGAGGAATTCAGGGCTCGGGAAGATAAAAAGGGGAACCAAACACCACCCTGCTCAAGCTACTCTGCCTTACGGGAGGAGCTTAAGCCCTTCCGCCCTTTGGCAAGTTCGCGACCCACGATCACCCCCTTCAGGGCGCCAGGCCCCACTGCACCGCCGTGGTCGGAAGAGGAGTTGCTCCCTGGGCTGCCACCTCCACCCGTGGCAGCCAGAGGGCGCCCACAACCTATGGCACCGCCCTGGTTAGAGGGAGAGCTACTTCCCGGATTACCTCCTGCGCCCCCTTCTGGGGGAGGAGGAGGACGTTCCTTCCGTATGTGGTAAATGCTCTCCAAGTTCTGGAGACGGCGGGTCCCATTAAACCCTCTTCAACGGTAGCCTCCATATTCCTAGGTATTCAACATCAGTTATGGAATAGAACCTCAAAAGTGTTCATCTCACATATCAGAGCCCATACTAATTTACCTGGGCCCTTGGCGGAGGGCAATGCCTTGGCAGACTCGGCCACGCGCCCGATATGGGTCTTCACCTTTCCCAACCCTCTGGAAGCAGCCCAAAAATTCCATTCTCAGTTCCATGTTAATGCCTGCACCCTCATGGCGCGCTTCAACATCACGAGAGCACAAGCACGAGAGATTGTACGGTATTGCCCAGCTTGTGTGATCTCTTCACCCCAACAATCTATTGGCATTAACCCAAGAGGACTTTGCCCAAATCATATTTGGCAAATGGATGTTACACACATCCCAGAATTCGGAAAACTTAAATATGTTCATGTTTCGGTAGATACCGCCTCCCAGGTTATGTTTGCCTCGGCAGAACCCGGAGAAAGGGCCACCCACGCTATTAATCATTGCCTGGCAGCCTGGGCTGCTTGGGGAAAGCCCAATATACTAAAAACAGACAATGGTCCTGCCTATACCAGCAAAATTTTTATGACATTTTGTCAACAAATGGAGGTCACTCTTAAACATGGCATTCCTTACAACCCCCAAGGACAAGGCATCATTGAGCGATCCCATCGGACACTCAAGCGTGTCTTACAAAAACAAAAGGAGGGAATAGGCCATGGCCTAACGCCCAAAGGAAGAATATCATTGGCACTCTTTACCATAAATTTTTTAAACCTTAATCACAATAATCATTCCCCTGCCATGGAGCACAATAACCCGTCCCCAGCCGACAAAGGGCTGGTGAGATGGAAAGATGTCCTTACAGGACAATGGATGGGCCCGGATCCAGTGGTTAGCTGGACCCGAGGTGCGGTTTGTGTCTTCCCACAGGAACCAGGTCGCAAGCCGCTGTGGGTCCCGGAAAGATTGACGTGAGCAGTAAACTCCCCACCAGTTCCTGATAAAGCACAGGAGGATAAGCCCACGGACACAAGTCAACTCGACCCTTCTGGGACCGACGCTCAGCGCCCGAGACCATCTACAAACTAAAATGTCTGGTTTGGAGCTTTTTCTATTCTGTGGGTTCCTATTAATCACCCCTGTTCGCACAAAGTCCCTCATAGTCGGTCAGGAACTTGACAATATGGACGGTATCCAACTAGGTCCAGTCAGGTTCGATTTATCAACTTTAGGCAGTGTTATAGCCAGTTTGTGGGAACGCGTCACCTCCTGGTTCTCCTGGCCCAACCTGACTACTTGGATCCTGATTGCCGTGGCCATCCTAGTGGGGCTTGTGGTTATTAAATGCTTGTTAGATCGCCTCATACAAACTCAGCAGCAGGTTAAGATCACAGCTATGGCAGCCATGCAAATGGCAGCAGGTGGCCCATCGGGCCAGCAGGCCGCCGCATATCTCCTTCACATTGCAGAACATCAGCTATAAGAGCTGAGTGGGCAAGCCAATGACGGGTAAGACGGGAAAAGCCCTCCCGGTCAACCTAAGACAGGCTCCACTCAGATATACATGGCCTATAAGGCCAGGGGTCCCTCCCGGAGTCAAATTATTGGCATTGAGATGCGAGACCAAGGGTACTTCAGTGCCATCCGCCCCAAAGGTTGGGGGGAAGGCAGGAATGAATGTCTATATGCATCCAGGTTCGGTTCACAAAAGCCTGGCCCTGCGAAAAAATGAACCACTCACCTTGAGCATAGTCCTGGCGCAAGGATATGCACAAAACAGGGTGATGCACAGCAGGGTATAGACCTCTACATTCTCTCATGCCTCGGCCTACAAGGTAGGCCCACTCCTAGGTGTCTAACAGCAACAAGGTCATAGACACCTTGGAGGGACCCACAGACCATCCTATTTTAATAAATAAAAAAGGGGGAGATGTGGGAAGCCGCCTATGATGGCGCCCATTTCCTGCTTCCAGGTTCTTCCCGGCCTGAACAAGCCCGCCAAATTGTCATGTCTGCCCAGTTACCCGTGACGCTAGCCTATCAGCTTGTTAGACGCGCTTCTCTGTGATTGGATACTGCTTCCCCTTATAAGAGGCTGTTCCTGCCCCCAAGGGGCGGAAGAGGAACCAACGTTGAGGGTGGCGGACCTTGTTAGGTCCGGTTCGCTGTACGCAATAAACTTTGAGAGCTGATCCTGCTCGAGTTTGGTCTCCTGTCTCCCACGGCTCCGGTCAAGGAACTCTCCCTACCCACCAGGGACACCTCCCGAGTGGCTCTGGCCCACAGACACTTTTGTACTAAGACAATGACATTCATTAGGCATCATGTCCATAGACTGGACTCCAGCTTTTACCTACGTGAAATTCCATTTCTCGTTCAGACTGAGGATGCGGTTTTTGATTTGTACCAGGGATAGAACTCATGACCTCACACCTGCCAGGCAAGTGCTTGAGCTTGAGCCAACTGAGCTAAATCCCCGGTCAAGGATGTGGTTTAGGTGTCTGTTAATTGGAGAACTGACACAATGACCATCACTCTAGATTTGCCTTTTCCAATTTATGCCACTCTGTGTAATAAAAGGCCCATCTGACCCCTCCCTTCCCTCCAGCCAAATTGTTTTTCATTTTTCCCTGCTGTCTAGAAGCTGCCTGGTTTAGGAGGCGGTAAAACAGGCAATGGGAAGGGTGAGAGCTGGACACATTATCATCTTCTGGAATCAGGGCCCTTATCCATTTTGTCCATGCAGGCCCTGCCCCCAGATAAGAAAGCACTTCTGAAATGCCAGAACCTCCTCCCACCTTCCCCCACAGAAGGTGAGAAAGTGAATCAGTGCTCCCAGCATTTAAAGGGAAAGAGGTTTTACATCTCACAGCTGAATTATTATTTCCTAGTTCCTTGTTATTTTTAAGAGATCTTTCCTTCCATGATCACTAACTGCAATCCTGTCTTCAAGGTCTGAAAATCTATTTTCAGTTTCATTCAAGCAGTTCTGTCAGCTTTTAGTGGAATTTTTCATTTCCTGGACATCTCTTTGAATGTTTCATGTATTCTAACTTTTTGTGTATATTGTCCATTCAAGGTTTGCATCATTTTCCTACATTCTATTTTTTATCTATGTCTTCTTAGATATACTCAGAAATTCTTTCATTATGGTTATCATTTCTTTTTTTTTACCTAAAAGATTATTTCTGATCTAACTTCCTTTACAGTCTCACGGAGTTGTTTCTTTACTTCAATTGCTATCATTTTAGAAATTTCAGGTGTGTCACTTCCAATTGCTTCTATTCAGAAGCCTCCTGGACTTGTTCTGAGTGGCTGAAGGTTTTAGATGGCGTGATACTCCTTCATCTTGTCATTTTCCTGGGTTCCTCGGGATGAGCCGGTTGCCAAGCACCAGGTGTTTCCTGCACTGGCTGCCATCCACCCCATCCCTCAGTTTAGGGGATTGGGCCAAGCACCTGGCTTCCTCCTAACCAAGTCTCCCCAGTGGCAGAGGGCGGTGGATGTGCCTTCTCCTGCCCCAGAAATAGGGGTTTTAAAACAGAACGAGGATCCTATTTTTCCTCCC